ATCGAACTTACTAATGTAGCTGAAAAGATGGCCTACACTCTCCAAACAGATAAATCTAAGAAACAAAATCACATGACTTTTCAGCTCCAACAGCTGCAAACTCTTTTTAGAGGCAATAATCCTAGGCCACCCTCTTCTGGTGTGTGCCATTATTACAAGAAACCTGGATACCGGAAAGAGGACTGGTGTAAATTGAAAAATAAGATGCAAAACTCAACAAAGGCTGAATCAAAACCCATCTATTGATGGGGCTCTGAGGGACCTGTTTGGCTGCATCCTGCCTTTGTCTTAAATGACAAAGGTGAAACCACCTTAAAAATAAATGGAAAAGACTGCACCTATTTAATAGACATTGGTGTCACCCGTTCAGCCATAAACCTCACACTTTTAAGCAGCCCTCTCCCTTGGAGTAATAAAACTGTTGATGTCGGGGGGTATCTACTATTGTACAACATAACCCCAATCTATGCCAGTGTCAGTGTCCTTAGGACCCTTATCTGAAAGCTACTCCTTCCTCTTAGGTGATACTACACCTGTCGATCTTTTAGGATGAGATTTATTAAGTGAGACTGTTCTATAATCTTTGATAAACAAGGGAAAATAACCCTACAATTTCAAGATAAACTCCAAATATACCTCTTATGTCACTTAGAGGCTTTGACAATGGATAAGGATACCTCTACTTTAGAAAAAGAGTGCCCATTGTTATCCTGTGGGCTTCTTCCTCTACAGATGTGGAGAGAATACATAGTGCACAACAAATTAAAGTTCAAATTGACCCAAGAAACCCACTTCCCAGGATTTCTCAATACCCTCTAAGACAAGAGGCAATTCAAGGGTTAACCTCTATAGTTGAGGAATTGTTAATAAAGAGCTAATAATTCTGTCCTAGTCATTCAGTGCTGCTATAACAGAAATACCACAAATGGATGGCTTTAACAAGAGAAATTTATTCTCTTACAGTCTAGTAGGCTACAAGTCCAAATTCAAAGCGCCAGCTCCAGGGGAAGGCTTTCTCTCTCTGTTGGCTCTAGAGGAAGGTCCTTGTGATGCATTAGTCTTCCCTTGGTCTGAGAGCATCTCAGTGCAGGAACCTCAGATCCAAAGGACACGCTCTGTTCCCAGTACTACTTTCTTGGTGGTATGAGGTCCTCATGTCTCTCTGCTCATTTCTCTCTTTTATATCTCAAAAGAGATTGGCTTAAGACACTATCTAATCTTGTAGATCTCATCAATGTAACTACCACTAATCCATCTTACTGTATCATAGTGATAGAGTTTACAACACATAAGGAAATCACATCAAATTACAAAATGGTAGACAATCATACAATACCAGGAATCATGACCTAGCAAAGCTGACAGATATTTTGGGGGGACACAATTCAATCCATGACATTCCACTCTTTGACCCCCAAAATTCATGTTCTTTCCACATGTAAAACATATTCACTCCATCATATCATAGCAAAAATCTTAAAATCACCTCCAAGTCCAAAATCTAAAATTCCTCTTCATCTGTGAAATCTAGAATACAAGTTATCTGCTTTCAAAGGTACAATGGCAGAACAAGCACAAGCTAGATATTTCCATTACAAATTGGAGAAACTAGAGGAAAAGAAGGGATAACAGGAATGAAGCAAGTCAGCAGAACACATTACATTAGCCCTCAAGGCTTTGCAAATAATCCTCTGTTCTCTGAAAGAATTTACACAATGGCCCTGTCCTCCAGACTGTAGGTATTGGCCACACTCCCTGGATTCTGAGTGGATGCCCCTTGTGCCTGGGCTTCAGCTCCACCTTCCAGGCCCACTGGGACAGCAGCTCTGCTCCCTCGGCTTTAGGCACACCATTCTCCTACTCCATCTGAGTGGCAGCTCCACCCTTGGAACACCAGAGGCCACGGCTCCACCTGTTGAAACCCCAGAGGTCCTGGCCATACCTTTTGAGACTGAGGCAGCTCAGCTTCCTGTGCTCCTTGTCTCTCAGCCCTCAGGCCTCGCACCTGCTTCTGCCCTGCTGGGGCAAGTGTTCCAAAGCTCAGAAGCTCCACAGATAAGCACCTGGAGGCACCCCACTCCACCAGGAAGCCTCCTGTGC